TAGAGAGAGAGACAGACTGACGAGATAGAGACCAGAGACACGAGAGAGAGAGACCAGAGAGAGAGAGAGACTGACGAGATAGAGACCAGAGACACGAGAGAGAGAGACCAGAGAGAGAGAGAGACTGACGAGATAGAGACCAGAGAGAGAGAGAGACTGACGAGATAGAGACCAGAGAACCAAAGAGTGCTCTCTGGAATATATATGTTTTATATGGTTCCGACTGGCTCTAAGCCGGTTATAATCCCAGTCTAGTTTTGATCCAGGCTTCAGACCTAGTGCTAGTCTGGTCCTGAATCCAGTCTGCCGTTCCTCTTCTCATTGAGTCTTTCCTCTCCCTCTCGGTCCATCTTGGAAACCAGCCTCTTCCTATTTTCTCAGGGTATAATCCCGGAGCAGGACTAGTGTAGTTTTGCTTCCTGCTGATCCCACAATCAAGAGTTTCCACCTCCAGGAACCTCCGCAATAACAAGGTTTGAGATCTCTGGCATTTTGTGTGAGCGGAAATCAATGTGTCGCAATTAGACGCTGCATCCACAGGAGCCCCATGGTACTGTAGTGCTATATTTACCCCATGGTACTGTAGTGCTATATTTACCCCATGGTACTGTAGTGCTGTATTTACCCCATGGTACTCTAGTGCTGTATTTACCCCATGGTACTGTAGTGCTGTATTTACCCCATGGTACTGTAGTGCTGTTTTTACCCCATGGTACTGTAGTACTGTATTTACCCCATGGTACTGTAGTGCTGTATTTACCCCATGGTACTGTAGTGCTGTATTTACCCCATGGTACTGTAGTGCTGTATTTACCCCATGGTACTCTAGTGCTGTATTTACCCCATGGTACTGTAGTGCTGTATTTACCCCATGGTACTCTAGTGCTGTATTTACCCCATGGTACTGTAGTGCTGTATTTACCCCATGGTACTGTAGTGCTGTTTTTACCCCATGGTACTCTAGTGCTGTATTTACCCCATGGTACTGTAGTGCTGTATTTACCCCATGGTACTGCAGTGCGGTATTTACCCCATGGTACTGTAGTGCTGTATTTACCCCATGGTACTGTAGTGCTGTATTTACCCCATGGTACTGCAGTGCGGTATTTACCCCATGGTACTGTAGTGCTGTATTTACCCCATGGTACTGTAGTGCTGTATTTACCCCATGGTACTGTAGTGCTGTTTTTACCCCATGGTACTCTAGTGCTGTATTTACCCCATGGTACTGTAGTGCTGTATTTACCCCATGGTACTGTAGTGCTGTATTTGCCCTAGGGCTGGGCGATATGGCAAAAAAAAAAAATCTCCGATTTTTTCACACCAAATCCGATTTTCGATTTTAATCGATTTATTTTTTTCTATTCAAAAACAAACTACAACTGACAAAGAAAGAGATTTTCCTTTATGCAGTTTAATCTAAATCCCCATGGAGCATAAGTGTAACAGGAATTAAGCCTTAAAACATGCTTGTAAACGAGATGGCTCTGCCATTGTAAACAGTGAAAATGTAGCTTAACAGTTTTATAATAACTTCACTTACAATGACACTATGCACCTTCAAAATAACTTAAATCACACAAACAAGGCCCATCGCAAATATATCAATCCTATTAAACACATGCATTATTTACATGAAATATCACATTTTTAAAACTGATTACTCAAAATAGAAATGTTGTAACAGACAGTCTTTTCCAAAAGCCTCCTCGGGTTTTCATGCTTGTTCTTTCAACTGTGCCTGAGTAACTGTGCTGTAGTACAACGCTCGGTCCAGCTGGTGGCGCTAATACTAACTTCAGTGACTCCCGCATTGTGCGAGCTTCCTGTTTACATTCTGATGCTGTAGCTAACAGCTACTGTAGCAGCTACTGTAGCTAACAGCTACTGTAGCAGCTACTGTAGCTAACAGCTACTGTAGCAGCTACTGTAGCTAACAGCTACTGTAGCAGCTACTGTAGCTAACAGCTACTGTAGCAGCTACTGTAGCTAACAGCTACTGTAGCAGCTACTGTAGCAGCTACTGTAGCTAACAGCTACTGTAGCAGCTACTGTAGCTAACAGACAGCGGGGAACACGTTGTTTGTATCAGAGCAATGAGAGCAATGTGTGAGACGTGTCTTTCCCCAAAGTGCAGCGGCTCAGTGGGACACAAGTGTGTGAGCGCCACGGACACGGGAGTGCGCTTTGGAATAACGAGCGTGAGAGAGCGTGAAAGATGTGGCGTACGAACATGGCGTACGAACATAGCGACTGGGGCTTGCGTGCGTGTGTGTGTGTGTTCTGGCGATTTAAATAAAGTCTGATTCTTGAACGTTTGAAGTGTTATTGCAACAGCACCAACTGTGAGAGCGAGCATCAGGCCAGAGGGAGACTGTTAGCATTAGGTTAGCTTCAAAATGACTGCTCAACACCATAGACCCGCGGTTAGCGCGTTAGCGCTGTAGTTCTGCGCTGGAGAAAATAAAAATTGAATTTTTAAAAAAAGAAATCGCCCTAAATGTAAAACTCGAATTAATGATTAAAATCGATTAATCGCCCAGCCCTAATTTGCCCCATGGTAGTAGTAGTAATCTTTATTTATATACCGCCTTTTCACTGCACATCGGAGTCTCAAAGCGGTTTACAATTGTTATTTTTGGGAGTGGGGCCAGTACAGGAGGCACATGCCAGACCTATTGTACATATTTTTAGTGGTAGGGGAAACCGGAGTACCCGGAGGAAACCTACGCAGACACGGGGAGAACATGCAAACTCCACTCAGAAAGGCCCTGGTCCAACCGGGATTTGAACCCAGGACCTTCTTGCTGAGAGGCGAGAGTGCTATCCACTCAGCCACCGTGCCGCCCACTGGTACTGTAGTGTTGTGTTTACCCCGGAGGCAAAGGACATGATGGAGACGTCAGCAGAGGCTTACGTTCTCATGTACCTGTGTATACGCTTATGTAGATTAGATACACAGAGACTAAAGAGAGACCAGAGAGAGACCAGAGAGAGACCAGAGAGAGACCAGAGAGAGACCAGAGAGAGACCAGAGAGAGACCAGAGAGAGACCAGAGAGAGACCAGAGAGAGACCAGAGAGAGAGACCAGAGAGACCAGAGAGAGACGAGAGAGAGACCAGAGAGAGACCAGAGAGAGACCAGAGAGAGAGACCAGAGAGAGACCAGAGAGAGACCAGAGAGAGAGACCAGAGAGAGAGACCAGAGAGAGACCAGAGAGAGAGACCAGAGAGAGACCAGAGAGAGACAAGAGAGAGAGGCCAGAGAGAGAGACAAGAGAGAGAGACCAGAGAGAGAGACCAGAGAGAGAGGCCAGAGAGAGACCAGAGAGAGACCAGAGAGAGACCAGAGAGAGACCAAATAGAGTCCAGAAAGAGAGAGACCAAAGAGAGACCAAAGAGAGACCAAAGAGAGACCAGAGAGAGACCAGAGAGAGACCAGAGAGAGACCAGAGAGAGACCAAATAGAGTCCAGAAAGAGAGAGACCAAAGAGAGACCAAAGAGAGACCAAAGAGAGACCAGAGAGAGACCAGAGAGAGACCAGAGAGAGACCAGAGAGAGACCAAATAGAGTCCAGAAAGAGAGAGACCAAAGAGAGAACAGAGACAGAGAGAGAGATAGAGAGACCAGAGAGAGACCAGAGAGGGACCAGAGAGAGACCAGAGAGAGACCAGAAAGAGACCATAGAGAGGCAGTTGATTTTTGGTGTTTATTGAATGTGTGAGAGAGTGGAGCTGATGTGGCTCTTTCATGTGGATATTAATGATTGTATTGCCTTGAGTGTGAACTGTGCTATACTAATAAACTCCCCGTCTCTTTCCTTCATATAACTGCAGTCTTTTTAATGAGGGTCTGAGGACTGCGGTGATGATGGCGTTGTGTGTTTTCTCATAGTTTGAACGGTTTGATTCTCTGATCTGTTGTTGGCGAATCGGCATCTTAGTAATGTCCTCTGAGATAACTCCTGTTGATATTTAAGGCCTTACACACAAAACAAACTGAACTGACTTGAATGGATTGAATCTTGTTAAGTACACAAAGCGTATAACAAATGAATGATGAAATTAAATGAACAATCCCTCCTGGCGCGCGTATGTGTGCTCCGGGTGCTCATAATAATGTCTCTTATCAGTCTTGATAAAGTGCCACACTGTTCTCTTCCCACAAAGGTCAGAAAATCCGGGGAAGAATCTTGTTACGACGGCATTTGTTTGCGTGCTAGCTTGTTTGTCTGTTCCCTTAAGGCCTGTGTACACTCGCGTGGCGCTGGTTCCGTTTGCGGTTGCGTTGGACCTACTCTCTCTGTCTCACTCTGTCTCTCTCTCTCTGTCTCTCTCACTCTGTCTCTCTCTGGCTCTCTCTGGCTCTCTCTGTCTCTCTGTCTCTCTCTCTCTGTCTCTCTCTGGCTCACTCTGTCTCTCTCTGTCTGTCTCTCTCTCTCTGGCTCTCTCTGGCTCACTCTGTCTCTCTCTTTCTCACTCTGTCTCTCTCTTTCTCACTCTGTCTATGTCTCTCTGGCTCTCTCTGGCTCTCTCTGGCTCACTCTGTCTCTCTCTGTCTGTCTCTCTCTGGCTCTCTCTGTCTGTCTCTCTCTGTCTCTCTCTCTCTGGCTCTCTCTGGCTCACTCTGTCTCTCTCTTTCTCACTCTGTCTCTCTCTTTCTCACTCTGTCTATCTCACTCTGTCTCTCTCTGTCTCACTCTGTCTCTCTCTCTCTGTCTCACTCTGTCTCTCTCTGTCTCACTCTGTCTCTCTCTCTCTGTCTCTCTCTTTCTCACTCTGTCTCTCTCTTTCTCACTCTGTCTCTCTCTTTCTCACTCTGTCTCTCTCTCTCTCACTCTGTCTCTCTCTCTCTGGCTCTCTCTTTCTCACTCTGTCTCTCTCTCTCTGTCTCTCTCTTTCTCACTCTGTCTCTCTCTCTCTGTCTCTCTTTCTCACTCTGTCTCTCTCTCTCTGGCTCACTCTGTCTCTCTCTATTCTATCCACTTCTATCTCAATACCTAATGAGGCAAACCCTCCTGGCGCGCGTATGTGTGCTCCAGGTGCTCATAATAACGCCTCATATCAGTCTTGACACCGTGCCTGGCTCCTCTCTCACCACAAAGGTCAGAAATTCCGGGGAAGCGTCTTGTTACGGCGGCGTGTGTTTGTTGTCGTAGCCGTGCTAGCTTGTTGCCGTGCGTCTTCCCATTTGTCTCCATTAGCTCCGGTTTCGTCTCCGGCCATTTTCCGCCGTCCACCGCTCGTCCTCGCCCGCTCCCTCCACGGCTGACCTCCAGGATCATGATTGCCCTTCGCGTCGGCCATGGATCACTCTGCTCCTTAATTGTGTCGACATGATTGAGAAAGCAGAACGACACGGACGCACACGGCGGACGCACAAACCTGATATTTAGAGTTACATCTGTGTTAATATCCGTCCAAGACAATCAGGATGTAGTGTACGGTCAATTTAATTCAATTTGTGTTGTGTACAGCCCTAAATCACAACAGTAGTAGCAGAGAAACCAATGATTAAATACACATAGAGACGTTGGTCCGTAATGAAATGTTCTGGATTATCACTGTCCTTAGACCCTCCTGCATCGACACAGAACCAATATAAAAAAAACAGTGGGACCAACCTCGGGAAGGCACACATTTAGGGAGGGATCTGCTCCCATCAATGGACTGAGGCTGTAGACCCAGGACTGAGGCTGTAGATCCAGGACTGAGGCTGTAGATCCAGGACTGAGGCTGTAGATCCGAGACTGAGGCTGTAGATCTAGGAATGAGGCTGTAGACCCAGAACTGAGGCTGTAGATTCAGGACTGAGGTTGTAGATTCAGGACTGAGGTTGTAGATTCAGGACTGAGGCTGTAGGTCCAAGACTTAGGCTGTAGATCCAGGACTGAGGCTGTAGGTCCAAGACTGAGGCTGTAGATCCAGGACTGAGGCTGTAGATCCAGGACTGAGGCTGTAGATCCAGGACTGAGGCTGTAGATCCAGGACTGAGGCTGTAGATCCAGGACTGAGGTTGTAGATCCAGGACTGAGGCTGTAAACCCAGGACTGAGGCTGTAGACCCAGGACTGAGGTTGTAGATCCAGGACTGAGACTGTAGATGCAGGACTGAGGCTGTAGATCCAGGACTGAGCCTGTAGATCCAGGACTGAGGCTGTAGACCCAGGACTGAGACTGTAGACCCAGGACTGAGACTGTAGACCCAGGACTGAGGCTGTAGACCCAGGACTGAGGCTGTTGACCCAGGACTGAGGCTGTAGACCCAGGACTGAGGCTGTTGACCCAAGACTGAGACTGTAGACCCAGGACTGAGGCTGTAGACCCAGGACTGAGGCTGTAGACCCAGGACTGAGGCTGTAGACCCAGGACTGGAAGGCTGTAGACCCAGGACTGAGGCTGTAGACCCAGGACTGAGGCTGTAGACCCAGGCTGACTGAGGCTGTAGACCCAGGACTGAGGCTGTAGACCCAGGACTGAGGCTGAGACCCAGGAGAGGCTGTAGACCCAGGACTGTAGACCCAGGACTGTGGCTGTGACCCAGGACTGAGGCTGTAGACCCAGGACTGAGGCTGTAGACCCAGGACTGAGGCTGTAGACCCAGAGGCTGTAGCCCTGGACTGAGGCATAGACCCAGGACTCAGGCGTAGACCCCAGGACGCATTGAGTCCCAGACCCAGTTGTCTTTGCAGACCGATCCAGTTCCCCCCAGGACGGGGCATTTTTGTATATGCTAGTGTTTACTTGGCTGTTCCGACAATTGGGTCGCAGCACCAGGTTTTTCCAGCGGGAGCCACCCGACTAGGGGTTCCACAGTCCACGTCCTGGTGCCGACAGGTCCCAGACCGGCTTGTAGTCCAGCCGACAGGCCATCCCATGAGCCCAGTTCCGTCCACCACCACACCACTTCAGGACCAACAACCAAGTTCCCAGGGACGGAGAGGTCCCCGAAACCCTAGGGTTCCCAGACTACAGTTCCAGACCAGTCCAGGATAGTCTTTAAGTGGAGCGTTCATGGGTCCCTAGGACGCCGGACCAGACGGAACTACATACGTCTGCCAGACCGCCATGACGTATAACCAAGGTTCCCCATGAGTTCACAGACCAGTCCAGGTAGCCGAACACTAGTCTCTCCCCACCACAAGACCAGGTCCTGCGACCAGCGGTCCGCACAGTTTGCAGGGTCTCTTGTACTGCCGGACAGGGTCCAGACTCGGCCGTAGTCCTCCCAGCATCCAGACCCATGGTTTCCTAGGAGCCAACGTCCTGACCAGTGCATGCTGCAAACCCAGTCCAGGAAAGCAATAAGTCCGACTCGCAGGTCCATGTCCCCAGACCCCCAGTTGGCAGTCACAGTCAGGAACCCGACATCCAGACCATGTACAGGACGCCCCAACAGTCCAGACCATGTATTTGTTCCTTCCGACCACCAGTACATCAGTTGGAGACCCCGACAGTCCTCCAGACCAGTCCAGGGCCTCTTTAGTCCAGGACGAGTCCCATGTGCCGCTTTTAGTTGAGTCCAGAATTAATAAAACTGTTTGGACTGGACTGGGATGATTTAGACCTCTGCTGTTCTGAAGTTGGCTCGATCAGATAAATGACCCTCTCTGCTGCAAACAGTAAGCCAACAGTACTGAACTTTGTGACATCATTCAAAAAAACAAATGGGATAGTGGTATACCATATGTCAGGTTCTGAATTCGCGCCTGTGGACTGAGCTGCTGAAGTTGGGCTCTGGGGATGTTGACTCTGTAGGTTTTGATTTGATTTCTAAGCTGAGGACATCGGGACCCTCTCTCCCCCTCTCTTCCCATTGACACAAGTTGGCCCCGTGTGGCTCGTGGGCCCACCTATCATGTGCCCCACACTCGAGGGGTCTGGGTTCAACGGTTTACTGGAGATCACCCATCTTCTTCACCTGATCCATGTCTTGGGTGGTGGTGGCGGCTGTCACAGCGGAGGACCATCATTCTGTATATTACTTATGTTTTTGTTATCTCTCCCCTCCTTCTTGCTCTCCTCCTGCCGTTTGCTTTTGTTTTGTTTTGTTTTTGGTGTTTGTTGTGAGAGGCGAGGGATTACTTATGAGTGTCGTGTTGTGTTCGAGGGAGTCAGAGAGACGAGGAGACGATAGAGGGAGAGGGATAGATTGTAGAGGAGGGAAGGAGGAGGAGAAGATAGAGGAGAGGATGGACGAGGAGTGTAGATGTTTTCGAAGTGATACGTATTACGAGTGATTTGGAGCGGGCGAGAGCAGGGTACGAGTTTAGAGGTGAATTTACTTAAACATTATAGTTATACAACGATATAATTGAGTCGTTTTTCTTCGGCGCTGTTTGTGTGACCTGCCCGCCCCACGCCCCTACACCCAGCCACACTGACCATGGGATTTCAGGGGAAAAGAAGTAGAGAAGAAAAGAAAGGAAAGTAGTTGGTAGGAAGAAGAGGAAAAAAAGAGAAGGAAGATTGTGGTGGTGTTGTCCTCTTTCTGCTTATCGGGTTCTTTCTTCCGTGAACGCTGCTGTGTTCTGTGGACTGCCCCCCGCCCCCACACCCACCACCCCCACCCTCCGCCCCACCCCCCCCACACCCACCCCCCCCCCCTGCCCCACCCCTCCCACCCCACCCCCCACCCCCCCCCCACCCCCCCCCCCACGCACCCCCCCCCCCACCCCCCTCCCCCCACTCCACCCACACCCCAGGGACCCCAACCCCCACCCACACCACCACACCCAACCCCACCCCAACCCCCACCAACCCCCCCCAGCCTCAACACCCCCACACACCCACCCCAACACACCCAACACCCCACCCAATCCCCTACCGGAATAAGAGACCCACCCCCCCCTCAACGCCCTCACCCCACCCACACAACAAACCCCCCACCTACCGACCCACCCCACCCCCCCCACCCCGCCCCTCCTACAACCCACCCCCCTCCCTCCCCATGCCCGAACCCCAAGGACCACCAGACCTTGGATGATAAAACAATTTTCAGACTTCAGGGGGGGAAGGAAGAGATGATGAGTAGCAAGGATGGGGTGTGTGTGTGTGTAGGATGGGACGAGAAGAAGATCTAGAAAGAAGGGATAGAATAAAGTTGAAGAAGTATGGGGAGGTCGCGTTGGGAGTGTTGTTTGCGTTTCTATACAGAGGTGTATCTGGCCAGGACCTAGAATAAGGAAGAAAGTTGGAAGATGATGGGTCGTACGTGATTTTCTGTTAACTTCCTTGACCAGATCGTGGGGGGTGTGGTTGTCTGTGGTTGTATGTGGAAGAAAGAAGTAATAAAAAGGAAAGAGGTAAAGAAGAGAAAAAGAAGAGAAAAAAAAGAAAAGAAGTAGAAAGAAGAAAAAGAAAGAAGATAGAAGTAGAAGATACTGGCTCGTTGATAGGTTGGTTCTGTGTCTGATCTACAGTAAACTGGTACCCAGGATACTGTCCTTGTGGGTCCGTAAGAAGATAAGATGAGAAGTCAGACAGCAAACGATAGATGGAGATGGAAAGATTGGGTTGGAGGAAAGTTGGAGGTGTGTTTCGTGTGTGAATCTGTGGTGCGTTTCGAGAAGAAAGAGCATGGCTATGTGTTGTTCAAGGGCGGGGTTGACTATCTCATTATCGACGGCTGGTTCTGTGATTTCCTTAAAAGATAGATGGGTTTTTAAAGAAGATGATGGGTGCCCGTTTGTGGTGGGTAGTTTGATACGTGCAGCGAGAAGAGAAGAACTGTTGTTGGTGTTTGTGGAGTTGCGTTGAGGTGTTGATGATTTTTTGTTTGAATCATGTGTGGCTGGGAGTTGTGTGTTGATGTTGCCCGTGTCGGTTGATTTGCTTGTGAACAGAAGTTAAAGAAGGAAGGAGTGTGTGGTGATCTGATTCGTGTGTCAGTGTGCCAGAAGTTCGAAGAAGAATGGGATCAGAAATGGGTTAAAGACATTCGTTAGGAAAGCGATTTAGTAGATTGATGAGGAAGTGATAGTAAGATGAAGAAGCATGGTGGTTCTGTTGGGTCGTGCTTCTATCAGTAGTTTTTTATCTGGAACCTACAGCATCCTGTCCTCAACCATGACTCCCCTGAGGGCCTGAGGACCTATCCGTTGCCGAGTGCCACAGCTCTGGCCCACCCGTATGGTTGTGAAGGAGTGTCCCCGTGTGGTGTTGTGGGCGGGGCGGGGGGTCCGCTAAACCCTGGCACTCCTCCCCGATGTGGGGCCCGGGTTGGGTACTACTGCCTGCTGTGAACTTTTCTCTTGTTTCACTGGTTGTGGTGCTTGTTACAAGACACTATTCATCGCCCTCTTAAGTCCTCAGGCTTGATACTCGGCCGCCACGCGGGGCGGAGGCCCCGCGAATACAGCTCTATCGGCGCAATCAGAAGAACCGCTGGGAAATCAGCGAGTTTTGGTTTTGCGTAATAGGACGAATATCAAGAAACCGGGACTTTCTTTGTGATTTTCATATTATTACCATCCCATTTGTTTTTTTTTTTTGAATTTATTTTGTTGTATCGTTTTGTCAACCATAAGCATAGTTCCTGTTCGGTTTGTCTTTTTTTGGTTATTAATTGTTGCTTTGTTGTTTCTGTGGCTTGCAAGACGAGGGTTGCAGATGAGGGAGTTGACTGGCGAGGGGTTCATTCATTTTAATTTTTCATTTCATGCAAATTCTGTTCAAGCTAGTCAGAGGGTGGTCGTAAAGCTCTCAGTGTTCCTATGTCCCCTCCCCCCAATGTCCTCATTATCAGTTTTCTTTATTCTGGACCTATAAAGGCTCGGACTCATGGACCTCAGCGGATCTAGTATGTCTGGACACCTAAAAGGCTCCTCATGGACCTGTCTGTGTTGGACCTGTTCGGCGCCCCCCTCCTGCCTGGTGGATCTCGTTTGTCTGACTCTGGCTGTCGGCATCAACTTGGTTCCTGGGGCTTGTACTGGACTGTTATGTTTGGTTGGCTTTCTGTGGACTTTTTCATCTGGCCTCCATGGGCAACTGGGGGCCACTGGTTCTCTGGTCACTGTTGGATCCGGGGATTCCATCCCCCTCCTCCTCTGGGGACACTGGTCTACTTGTTGGGTAGCTGTCGGCCTCCTTTGGACTTGTGGAATCGCAACTGCCTTTCCTCTCCCTCCACCCCTGCCCCCCTCGTCCTTATTTTGCAATCGTCTCCCACTGGGTTCCTGATCCTGTCCTGTGGACTTACTGTCGGGCCCCCTCCTTTGGAGCACTTGGTTTATGCCACATGAACTTGGTTCTCCTTGGGGACACTTGCTGGATGGATCTTCTCGTTGGGCTCCTGTTGCTGCTGTGGGGATGGTTTCTTCCTGGTCCTGCTGGGCTCTGGGAACACACTGCTCCTCTGTCGGCGGCATTCCTGCACTCTGGTTCTGGATCTTGACAATGGTCTTTCTGGTGTTGCGACTGTCGGCCGCCGCTGGTGCGCTCCTGGAGCTGAGTCCTTTTTTGGAACTGATAATGACATCCTTGCCTGGTTCTTGGTATGGTCTTCTTGAGTGGGACGTACTCTCCTTCTGTCGGCTCCTTGGACACTGGTTGGACCCTCGCTGACTTCTGGTCTGGTACTGTCGGTAACTGCCGTTACCTCAATAGGGAGCTCCTTTGGACCTCTGGTCCTGGGACTCTGGTTCTGTGTCTGTGTCGTGGAGATTGTTGGTCTTTCTGGACTGTCACTGTCGGCCTCATGGAGCTACATGGAATCTGGGGTGTTGTGGTCTCTGTCTCAGGAGGGCTCCTGGACCTGGGTCTCGTCTGGTACTGTCGGGCGGGACGCCGGCCTCCCTGGAGAGGAGTCTGGAGTGTCCTGAGTCTGACATGGTCATGGACCTGTTTTTTGGCTTCCTGGCTTGGGAACCCCTTGACCCTGTGGTTTCTGCACGGCAACTGGTTGGGATCTGTTGGGACTCTGGAATGCCTGGGTTTCTTGGCTGGTTCTTATTGTCTGGTCTGTCTGGCTCACTGGTCTGGGTGGGGGACACCTGTCTGTGTCTGGAGACTTGTCGAGGCAGCCCTACCTTTGCTACTGGTCTGTCATGTGGAACAACTGGGCCTGGTCTGGGACTTGTCGGCCGGGTTCTGGACTGGTCTCTGGATCTGGTTGGTACTGGTCGGCCTCTCCTGGAAGCGGTCTGGGAACTGTTTCTGGTTAGGGTCTGTCGGCTCCTGGACCATGGTCTGGAGCCTGGGTCTGGACTGTCGGGCTCCTGGACACTGGGCTTTTGACTGCTGGTTCCTCGCCTCTGGTACTGTCGGCTCCTTGGACTGTTGGCCCTGGTCCTGGACTTGGTCTGGAGCCTGGTCTGTGGCTACTGTCGGGCTCCCTGGCTGGTCTTTGGAGGACTGTCGGCGGGGCGCCCTTTTGTGGACCTGGTTCTATATTCTTGGATCTGTCGGCTCCTGGACTGGTCACTTTGCAATGGGTCTGGACTGTTGGCTCCTGGAAATGGTCTTTCTGTTGCCACTGGTCTGGACTGGTTGTTGTTG